CTGTGCTTCTGTTTCTCCTCGGTCGCACTTGTTGAGCTGCAGAACCCCAACGTCATCTGTTTTAATTATAGGTGCTTGCTATGAGTATATAACATAAACATATACATATACATATGTATAAAACAGATGAGGAACAATGTTTTGTCTTTAAATCAAATGTGGAAAAGTCAAATCCATCTGGGAACATAAAAAAACAAAGTTACTATGTGGCCATGATGATCGTCTGCTTATAAGGGAATCTGTTATCGTTAACACTTATTAGGATATCAACAGTAGAGGCCTAGCTGCAATCAACAGATGGCTGCTTTTTAATGGATTGGAAAGAAAATCTTCACATTTAAAATGTCCTAAATGATATGGACCGAGAAAAGTGACATGAACAGCAATCAACACATTTTGGAAAACCCACATTACACACCTATTTTTTATGGTCCTGTTACTGCAATCTGAGTGTGTTGAGTTTGGATGGCATCAGTATTAATTTCATGGTGTCAGAATTCATTTTAATACTAGTCTATCTACTAAGGTAGATGTGCGTGTGTGTTTTTTACCATAGCATTTCTGCCAGACATTAAAAGTGGGGACTAATGCATTAGTAGAACGTTTAAAAGTTTAGACTGAACTCTTATGAAGAGTTGGCCATTGCTGGAAAGTGAATAAACACAGCTGCCCAAAATATTCATTCCGAAACCCGATAAAAAACAGTATTCACCCCAGTCAATATTTCAATATTACGACTTGAGTCACCTCTCAAAAACACAAAGATAGACAAAAGTCATAACAGTCATATTAACATTTATATAATTAGTTATTTGACTTTAGAATTAAAAGCTCTTGTTCTTTATCGTACAAGTCACTTAATGTTTCAAGATTAATCCTAAAAACACTACGTCCTTCACAATAGCCAACGTTTTATCTACCAGAGCCGGTTAACTGCAGTTGTTCCCTTTCTGTTAGACTGTTAGACAGACTGAACTTTGAAGACACATTCCTTGCTAGCAAACTTTCAATGCTGTATACTTAAGTTTTTTAAAACTAAAATCAATTGATGTTCCATTTGAAGAGTCAAGTGCTGCAAAAAGGACAAAGGATTCCTCACATTTCTTTCTTCCATGTTTTCAATTTAATATGAGCTGTGTCTAGTTGAAATGCACAGTACCACCCTGGAAACCCCCCTCCAAGCCATGTTGGATCAATGTGCTTCATCCCTCATCCGTCCACATGGCACTCAAAGCCTGTTCTGCCACCCAAATTACTGCTGTGCTGAATTATAACTTTGTTGGACCTGGCAGTGTACTGTACCCAAGGCATTCTGATATATCACTGACAGACGGAGCTGTCGTCACAGATATATATATCACCTGGAGAGCTATATGAAACAGACAGCTAATAGCCAGCAGTCTTTTTACAACAGCGTTTGTCAAAGTCTGGATCCTGGACATAAAGTTCTCAGCAAACATTTCAAAGTCTACTAGCCGTCTACTTGATGTCTGATTGGATGATGAACTTCTTTTCCATGTGGTTGTTGAAATGAAACTGTGCTGTGATAATGGCATTAGCACTGCTGTTTAATCATCCACTCCAGATCTAAAAGGCCGAAGTTACATTTAGATGTTTTTTTGTTTTTTTTATGAAATAATGTGTGACATAGGTTGGAGAGAATGCAAAAGTCAGGAAACTAAAGCGTTTCGTAGCAGAAACATGCTGCTGCTGGTGGATTAATGTTAACCTCATAATAATATAGTCAATGCAACTCTGCGACTTCATTTGTAATCTTACAGCAGCTCCATGTTGGACAGATGCCATGCTTGGCACTGCTTTGCGACTTATGGAAACTGAAAGAAATAAACAACACCTGCTACAGTATATAAGCAAAATCAGACTGTAACAAAATTATGAGTTAACATAGTGGAAAAAACGAGATTGGTTCGAGTAAATATCACACGTATTAACACACATATCAGCAAATAGAGTTAAAAACACAGGCAATGATGTATGCTTCATTAATCTCTAGTTGTTCATAACATCTGGTGCCATCACAATGGTAATACAGATTTTATATTTGAATTACAAGCTTATTAAGTCTGAACTGTTAACTGTTGTTAAACCATTATTGTTGGTACATAAACTAGATTGTTGTTCTGTGACGCTCCAGTAAATAATGGAACATTGACTTGGCAAATTGACATGGTTCATATATATGTAATTATGTAGGTCCAGTTATTCTTTGTTTTTCTGTTTGTCACATAATTGTTATTCAAATCAATCAAAGTGAATGATTACTCTTTGTTTGGTCTTTGTTAATAATGTCTAGCCTTAACATAACATGTCGTTAAACAAATTGCTAAGATGACTTTGATAATCATAGCAATTTTACTATATATGGATGTTCATATTCAATCATCACGGCAGTTCAGATGTCCTTGCTCTTCTCTCTATTTTCATGTTGCCCCTATTACCTCCTTAATGGTGTTTTTTTCTCAGTTCTAAAAGTCATGCACAAGGGCAGTAATGGTATCAGTTCAGTAAACTAATTGAGTGAGATTTGTTCAGTGTAAAGCTTGGATGGCTGCATTTAGATTTCTATCAGACGTCTGTGTCTCTTTATTTATTGAGCCAAGTATATCTTGTCCCCTGCCAATATTGACCCAAGGTCACACACTGACATATATCATGTGAGGGCCTGAACTCCACATTCACAAACAATCTCTCTGTTATCCGTTTATTTACAGTATGCTACCTCTCCAATTGGATTCCCAGTCTTTTTTTTAAACACAATTTAAACAAAAACCCCTTATTTCTTTAAGCATATTTTGTCTTTTTTATTTTATTTGAATAGTGTGCTGAGAAAAGCAAAGCAAAGGAAGAAAAAAACAAGATTTAGAATATGTTGTTCTACAAGGTCATTACATTACATTTAGCTGACGCTTTTATCCAAAGCGACTTAGAATAAGTGCATTCGACCAAGAAGAAAACAGAATCATATAAGTACATCAGGTTTCATAGAGCCAAAACATTTCAAGTGCTACTCAACTGGCTTTAGATAAGCCAGTCCTTTATTAGTATATAATAATATTTTATTACTCGAAGTGGAGTCGAAAGAGATGAGTTTTTAGTCTGCGCCGGAAGATGTGTATGCTTTCTGCTGTCCTGATTTCAATGGGGAGCTCATTCCACCATTTTGGAGCCAGGATAGCAAACCGACGTGTTTTTGCTGATGGGAACTTGGGTCCCCCTCGTAGTGCGGGTGCAGCGAGCCGTTTGGCTGATGCAGAGCGGAGTGCACGTGCTGGGGTGTATGGTTTAACCATGTCCTGGATGTAGGAAGGGCCAGATCCATTCGCAGCATGGTACGCCAGTACCAGTGTCTTGAAGTGGATTCTAGCAGTTACTGGAAGCCAGTGAAGGGAGCGGAGGAGCGGTGTGGTGTGGGAGAATTTAGGAAGGTTGAAGACCAGACGAGCCGCTGCATTCTGGATGAGCTGCAGAGGTCGGATGGCACATGCAGGTAGACCAGCCAGGAGGGAGTTGCAGTAGTGTAGGCATGAGATGACGAGAGCCTGGACAAGAAGTTGCGTCGCTTTCTGGGTCAGGTGGGGACGTATCCTCCTGATGTTGTAAAGAGTGTATCTGCAGCAGCGGGTTGTTGCAGCGATGTTTGCAGTGAAGGACAGGTTGTTGTCTTGGGTCACACCCAGATTCCTTGCAGTCTGAGTCGGGGAAACAACAGAGGGGCCGATGTTGATTGTTAGGTCAAGAGTGGGACAATCTTTTCCAGGAAGAAAAAGCAGTTCAGTCTTGTCAAGGTTGAGCTTGAGGTGGTGAGCAGACATCCACTGAGAGATGTCTGCTAGATAAGCAGAGATGCGTGCGAAGACCTGGGTCTCTGAGCGAGGAAAAGACAGAATTAATTGGGTGTCGTCAGCGTAGCAGTGGTATGAAAAACCATGCGGGCTAATGACCGATCCGAGCGAGTTTGTGTACAGAGAGAAGAGGAGGGGACCAAGGACATGAGATATATTTAATACTGAGGAATACAGGACACATACTGTATATGTTGCATAGCCAACTTTGCATTACTGTACATATGCTGATTCAAGTCTATTTTAACATTTGAATAAGTTAAAGGTGGGGTAGGTAAGTTTGAGAAACCGGCTCGAGATACACTTTTTGTTATATTCCATGGAATGCTCTTAACATCCCGATAGCAATGAATATTTTAAGTGCTTTGACAAAAAATCCATAAAAAAATGTCATCTGTGGAAGCCGTAGTACTGTAAAAAGCACGACCAATCATTTTAGCCGGCCCGGCTAAAATAACTGGATGGCCTACCTGCCTGTCAGCCTTCCATCGGGGCACAAACTTATCTCGTGCCCTCATTGGTCATGTGTGCGTTCGTGTGTGTTGGAGGAGGGGCTCTGTAAGGAAGTGGCAGATTTTCTCCGGTTGTGTATTTTCAAATTCTAGCGATCTCGAGCCGGTTTCTCAAACTTACAATATAAAAGAAAGAAGTGAAGTAGATAACAAAGTTTGCGGACTGTAACTGTGACAGTAGATTTTGTGCCTGACCACACAGCTTGGCGACAGTCACTATTTATGGCGCCAAGGGGGAAGCAGTGAAGAATAATTCCTAATTTGCGGTAAAGGTGAATTGAATTGGATGGCCATTTCAATGAACATAAATTTCCCTTAATGAGAAGAATGATATTTGGCTAGCAGTGTGTCCTCTGACACGTGGTCTTTTTTCATTCTGCATATCCTTCACTTCTTGACAGCTGTTTATCCTCCATGGCCCACTAGCATGAGATGGATGACTGCAGCTTGGCTACAGTTCTACTACATCAGCACACTATATCTGATTTGTGATTTTCCCGGCTTCTTTTTTTTCCCGCTTCTGCCTCAGATTTCTCATTTTTTATTTTAACTATCATCTGTTATTGGCCTCTCTGTCACTCATTTATAATACTAATCACTTCCCTTCATACTCTCATTCTAACAGAGGTTGTCCAACTGAGCCTGGCGGAGGACCAGTGGATCAGTGTCTCTACGGTAACAGTGGGCCTTAGTGCGGTCCTTACGTGTGCCATCCAAGGGACGCTGCGTCCACCAATCATCTGGAAGAGGAACGGCATCATCCTGAACTTCTTGGACCTGGAGGATATCAACGTGAGTGTATGTTTTCGGTTTCTTCATCAAGGTTATTGCTCTAGTTTGCATGAGTTGATTGCATTCATCGCACAACACAAGCATCTTATCTGACTGTCTACAAATGTTGGTCTGCATGGAAGTCCACTTAAGGGTCTGCAGTGGACTTGAGAAGATGACAAACTGTGTCTCATTCAGACCCTTGCTGACACAGAAACCATAAATTCAATAGAGGACATCAGAAGGAATTCCAACAAAAAGATTACTCCCCAGCTTTCTCCATGAAACAGTAGAATTATAGCTCCCTCGGTGCTTAATGAACTATGTGGCCCTGCTCCTGTTTGGACACATTTATTCTTCACAGGTGACAGCACAGCACTGGCCTTGCTTTACCCACCACCGGATCACAACTCACTAATTGCATGTTAATGAGCGGCCTTGTTGGTCTGCTGTGATGATGAGCCGATAAACAATGTCAAGTGTTAAGGTGGAGACCGGAGGAGAGGCGATGGCAGAAGAAGTCCCTCAGGCTCTTGACCCTGAATAATGAATTTCCGCAGAGCAAATGGATCTGAGGGGGAGGAGGGAGAGAGGACTGTTACCTCATTCACACCAACGGTGTTTCAGGGCCAGTTCGAAGCTGGAGCTTGAAAAGCACCGGGTTTTCCTGTTCACACCGCAGCGGAGCAGCCTCTTAGCTCCGGAATCCGGTTCGTTTTAAGCACCCAAAAATTGTCCGGCTAGAGCAAAAGCACCGCATACATCACGCTTACGTCGAGGCGGGGGCAGGGGCAGGGGCGGGATCAACTCCTGAACAACAACAAAAAGCCCGCGTTTTATCCAGTTTGTACACAATGATGGAGAAACTTAACAAGCAGCAGTGGTCCACTGAAGAGACCAGCTACCTACTGGGAATCTGGTCTTCCGAAGAGGTACAGAGGAAGCTGGAGCACAATCGGCCATTGTTGTTGTTGTCGGTGTGAGCCGTGAGGGTTTTCCGCGCGGTTTGGCTTTATGAAGCAGGCACGCAAACGGTTACGTCATGACGCAAGCGATGACGCAATGACGCAGCACCAGTCGGACTCTGGGCGGTGTGAAAAGAGCCGGAGCTAAACCGAAGAACCGGTTCTGAACCTGAAAAGCTCTAGCACGGAGTTTGAACCGGAGTTGCGTTGGTGTGAATGAGGTGTGTGTGTTTGGCTTTCTTTTAAGCCCAATCAAAGATAAAGCAACATAAGTTAACTAATAAGAGAGAAGTACTATAGCATATAAATGATTTAAAGTTAAACAGTCAGATAGTATATTACATTTCCATTTCAAAAGGTTCCTAGTCGCATTGCCATGATAACTCTCACATCTGTTAGAATAGTAACATTTTGATACAATAATGGGGAGTAGAGGGACACAGAAAAAGTGTGACTGACATTAATTGCAGTAATTGTGTCCCTCTTTTTGAGATTTATCTGTCCAACATTTGATACAGGTCTACTTTCAACAATTCAAGGTGACAGGGTGAGAGGAGGGAAAGAACATTTACTTCCTGTCAAAGTACTTTCAGCCTACCATTTTCCTCTATTGAATTTGTTTGATGGCAACAGACTTCTTTTTGGAAGTTTCATCTGACACTGATGGAAAACTTTCTGCGCTGTGGCATAAAACCCTTTAACCTGAGAGCTGAGCCTCCATTAAAATCAGTTTCATTTGTCTGCTCTCTCATAGTATCTTTCTGTCCTTTGTTCTCCATCTTGCTGTCTGTTTGTCTCACTCTGGTTTTCTTACCCTCAATCAAAAAACTAGGTATCTTACATATTGAATGTGCTCTCCAAAATGTAACTTCACGTGTATATTGGAAGGTTCTGACCTGTTTCACCACAGTTGATTGCAGGAAAGCAAAATAAAACACAACACCAACAACACACACAGAACAGCAATATAATATGCCACAGTGCCGTCTATCAGCCGAAAACTCTTGAGTGAGATTGGAATCTTGTTCTCCAGAAATTAAATTAATAATGTATATTTCTTTATTAAAAACAATTGCTACAGAGCTACTTTTAATTTGCAGGTGCATTGTTTTCACTTGGTAAACATGAAATGAATGTGGCTCTTTATATGCAAACTAATTTAGTTTATTGCAGCTCGATTGTTCTGGAAATTATGAAAAGCAATGATGATTACTAGTGAAGAAAAGGTCAAAGCTGACGTCGGTGTAGTGCTGCATCGGATTTGAATTGTAATAATTTTGTAGCCACTGGCCATCTTCATGTATAATTATTCCAGGGCTCTTTCATTATGAAAGCATATCATCTAACTTGACTAAAAATAAAAGCCTGTTATTCTTTCTTTACAGTTTTTCAGTAAAGTGAACAACTTTTTTCCATTATCTTATGAGCAGCTGTGCAGACCAAAATCTACCATTGAAGTTCATGTCTTTTTCGTCACTAATGACACTAAACAACCAGACACAATACTACTCAGTAATCTGAGCAAAACACAATTAAATAATTCTTCAAATTTGGCAGATTCGTCCAACACATCTTTATCTTTTTGATACTTCAGCTATAGCCGAATATGAATTTTGCGAGTGGATTTTGATTGGCCCGTTTAGTTTGTCCTTAATGTGAGACTTACCATTATATCATTGCACCTGCTTATTACCTAAAGTCACCCAACACTAAACTCCTATAAACATCTGCATATAAAGCGTTTTTGATAACACATCAGAACAATAAGATCTGTATCACCATTTTTTTATTGACTTACAGTTTTGTGTGAAATTAGCTCTGTAGCAAAAAAGTATTAATCAACATAACATCTCAGGTATGAATTTGGGACACATTGGTTGATGATTTGAAAAGTCGCCGTTCAGGAACCAACCCAACTGGATGACTTTTTTTCCAAAATCTAGAGCTAAGATTTTAAACAAAAATAATCAGGCATAACCTGCCAGATATTTCAAAGCTATACTTTTTAGCTCTAATGGCCCTCTCAATTTTAATTGCCCTCACTGGTTTAGTTGTAACTCTCACTTTAAAGGCAGCCTAAAGTCCCCCATCTATCTCAACAGAAAGTCTTTTCACATTCTCCTGTCACAAATCGACCCTCTGTCAGGTCATATTAATTTCCAGAGCCTTGTGAAGGAGAACAGCCGTTCGTGGTGTCCGTGTCACGACAGAGGCACATCAGGACATCTGCTCCGCCACTTGGTGGGACAGCAAACTATTTAATGCCTTAATCCGCCCTAAGCTGTGGCTGGAACCCCCTGGGGACTGCCGCATGCTGCCCCAACAACAACCAGCGCCATTCATCAACCTAATGGGCTTTATATTTTTAACCCTTGCCATTTATCAGGCTCAGGCAGCGTGATGAGGGAAAGTGGACGATCAAATTCCCCAACGCCTGCTTAAGCTCAACAGGGAAACCATTGATTCATGGTCTCTCTTCCCTTCCACATCACTCTTTTCCTCTCCTGTCTTTTCCCATCACACCCTGCTGCTGTGCGCCTCCTCTCCTCTCTCTGCCCTCGTCAAGCTTCTTTAAGTATTCTACCAAGCTACCTCCATTTCTCCCTCACTCCCTGTGGCTCTTTCCTGCACCCCATCCTTCACCACTATTCCCTCTCCTACATCTCCTGTTCTTCATCTGGCTTCTTTCATCATGTTCCCTCCTCTTTTTCCCATCTTTTTCACAACCACCTTCTTTCCTAACTTCCATTTCCTCTTCCATTTTGTAACTGTATTGCAGGACTTTGGGGACGATGGCTCCCTGTACATCACCAAGGTGACAACCATCCACATGGGGAACTACAGTTGCCATGCCTACGGCTATGAAGACCTCTATCAGACTCATGTGCTGCAGGTGAATGGTCAGTAGTGGCTCATTTCTTACTTACAGTGATATACAAAATGTTTTGTTTGTGCTACTCTGTGGTTCCCCAGTTAGGGACTTTTTTTATTATTCCTGTTTACAGGGAAAACGGTTAAAGAACAGTCTCTTAAGCAATCAAGCCAACAACCATTGATCAAAACAAAGGATACCATGAGAGACATTTAGTGCAGCATTTCAATATGCAAATCCAAACGTGTTCTAATCATATCAAGCCCCTCTCATTGTAGTCCATCCATATATAAAAAACACTTAACAACACTGTGATACTGCATATGGAAATATCAGGATTGTTTTTTGTATTTTTTCAGTAGATATAACTATCAACAGCATGAACTCGGCATTAACCATCATGTCAGATGTTGAAACATTCATTATACTATAAGATCATATTCATAAAACACCGTTTAACACATAAGTTACAATGTCGTTAACAGAACGCAAAAGTTCAGAACATCAAGCAAACCCAGAAATGTGTTGGCTTCTCTGAGACTTGTCGTAGGCTTTTAAAATCAAAGAAGTTGCTTGTCAAAAAAAATATTTTAAGTACAAATAAACAGTTTCAATAAAGCTGTGTTGTTCATACCTTTATGTTTACAATATATGCTATATACACATGGCTCACAGCATCGCAACACTTTGCATCAAAGGGACCACGGGAAACAACATCATTGCATATGTGAAGCTAAAACCTAATTATGTGTGCATGCAGCACATCACTTCGTTGCAGGGGAGAAAAGCCACTTAAAGGGAAAATACATCTGAAACTACACTGCATTTTGGCAGGAGGAACTTATTAAGGAACCAACTCATATCAATTATCTACAAAAGGGACTACCTTTAGACTTGAGAGTTATTATTATGCATCTCTCCAAGGAACACCCACAGAGGAAGAAGCCCCCTAACTGTAACAAGACAAATCAAAGATACGGCTTCCAATATATGCGCTTTTGTCTCAGGGTGGCAAAGGAGGAGGAAAATGTATTCAATTAAACCTCTTTTAAGAGAGACAATAGGTGTAATTATTTTTGTTTTTCTGAGACGCTAATTGTAAAGATATGCAGCTGAGTTTTAGACCTTGAACTAAAGAGGGAGAGGGGCTGATGGGAAGGGAGTCATGGAGACAGACTCTGGCCCTGAAGGGCGAGATATCAGGAGAGGGCAATTACCAAATGTTTGTGTAGGGGGGACTCAAGGTATTTCAAGCTCGATAGGACGAGGTGAGATAAGGTGGAATGGAAGTGAGCCAGGAGCCACATTAAACTAAGTGGACTCTTTGCATCGTGTTGTGTTTATAAGAATTACACACATGCTTCTGTTTTTACTGTGATGAGAGCAATGGCAGCGCTGCGGCACCCACAGTCGCAGTTTAAAAATAACTCTTTCTGTAATATTATAGTATCCTAGAGTCTGGTATCAATGCCGTTGAAGAATGTTTCTAAATGTGAAGTACACACTCAATAATGAATGGAAGAAAGGAAGAGTTTCTGTGAGAAAAAGATTGTAGAAAAACCAAACAAATGATTGATATAAAATGTAGAGATCACAGATGATAAGACAGACAGGCTGAGGGTATGGCGGAGGTATAAACACTTGTGTGTGAGTAAAGGAAAAGGTAAATAAAAACTAAATGGAACCAGAATTAACAAATAGACCCAAAGTACAAATACCATAACGTAATAATACTACATGTATTACTTTTACATTAACTAATAAAAAGGGGAAGAAGAAAGTTAAGGAAAAACTGAAATAAGTTTGCAGCAAGCACCAGAAGCGACATTAATATTGCATAAGGGGGAAGGTTGTAGATTGAATGTTAGAGGTGATTGAACTCCTGGAAAGTCAGGGGGGGGGCATCAGGATTTTGGCAGCATCCACCGGCGTTGAAATGTGCCCAGCATCCAAAGCAGAAAAATGAAATTTTACCTGTTCCGATAAACTATTACCTCATATTTCATTTCCCCCCTCATTTCCTCCATATTCATTTGCGCTCTTCTCCCCGGAGGAGGTGGTAAGTGGTAGATACGTCCAACATCTATTTCATGCAGGACTCGAGCTGTAATAAAGCAGCCCCAGAGCTCTTGGGTTCTTGTTATGTGTGAATATATTCCATGCTGTGGTGAGACAAATTCCTCTCTGCCCACTGCGTGTGTGGGTGTTTGTGCTATGTTCCCCTAGGAGCTACCATGAAACAGTGTGTAATTAGGTTTTCACTCGCGCCTCTGCTCTCTCCCTGTTTGTGTCTTCGGTTTTGTTTGTGTTTGTGCGTCCAGTCCCTCCAGTGATCCTGGTCTACCCGGAGACGCAGGCCCAGGAGCCCGGCGTATCTGCCAGCCTCCATTGCCACGCCGACGGCATCCCGAATCCCAAGCTCCTCTGGCTGAAGAACGGCATGGACCTGCTGCCCAGATCCTCCACACAGCTCGCTCTCATAGGTGGGGAGTTTTTGATATTTTTTTTTTTGAAGAGCTGTCAGCGTTTTAGCAGACTTTTTGTCACATGCAGTGTTTTTCAATTAGTATTACCAACCAACAGAGCTGCAGTATGCCAACACTGCAGAATCCTTTATAAACAAGGCAGAGCATATAGATGATGCAAAAAAAGCTTGAAAATAAAGCTGGTGTTGAATATATTATTAACTAATATTTAAAACTCTGCAGTATTGTTTAATTTTGCTTTTGAATGAGCAAGCTGTACTGTTGATGGCATTATCAGTTCATATATAAGTGTGTTACCTGCTGACATGTGCTAAACCCTAAGTAAATAGGTGAGGGGCCACTTATGTTATGTAAATGTTAAATGTTAAAACCTGTTAAATTGTCTCGGTGTACACACATGCTCCAGATAGACTTGTCGCAAGTATTCTGGCTCCTATACTGTTTTAAGACAATATATGCTTTAACTTCAATCACCACTGTTTACGTGTTTCTGTTGTGTTCTAATAATCCTGAGTGCTTATGTAACAGATCAACAACACTTCAGTTCCATTTACATTCTCTACCAAGTTGATGAAACACAGATTGCAGTCCTTTAACTATCTCTATTTTGCCCAACTACTTCATCTTTAGAAGTCGAATATAAATGGAGAAAATAAAATAAGCAAATAAGATGAAATATATAGTGTGTGGGAGAGTCGACGGCAGCTCTCTAGACTAGAATGGTGTTTTTTAAGAGACACTCTCAATATAAGAGAGAAGGAGCAAAGTGAAGCACGACTTTTCCTTTTATGTCCTGGTTCTCATTAAGGGAGAGTTTATTGTCTGTGTGTGGGTCATTACCTGTGGTAATAGCCTGTTATCAACCCCTCACACACTCAAACATGGGAGGGTTTGCAAGGTTCACCAGCACATAAACACTGCAGTGGCTACACTTACAGATTTGCCAACTAATATGGGCAAGGGGCATGCGTCCCCCTCACAGTGATTATTTAGGCTGGTTTTATAAAAAAGATATAGTTAAGTTAAAAAACTAGAGTGGAAAAGTATATAAATGACCATTGTTGTCCAGCATTGCCTTAGAAAAGATATCAAAAGCATAAAAGGTATGATTCTTTTATTTCATTTCCACATATCTCACATGTCAGGAGTGTAATAAAAGCAGTGTAAAAGTGTTGCCTTTATCTTTATACAGTATGTGGCTTCTGTAAAACTGCACACTGACAGATGGTAGTGAGGAGTATTGATTGTAAGCCACAGTTGAACAGTAAAGAGAGAAACTGCTTTGTGTTGCTGAATGAATGAAACTGTGTTCTGGAACCGTTTGCGGTGCTGAAACATCAAATTGATCTTTGCCTGATATTCCCTGTTGTTCAGTTTGTATAGCAAACCTCTTAACACAGCTTCAGTGATATCCTGATGTGTGACATTATGGGTCTTTTTAACCCCAATGCTTTGTGTGAAGAAGGCTCAGCACATTATCGTTATCACACAACTCAAATTCCACGTTAATCAAGGTCATCTGAGGGAACAGGCTGCATTGTGGCTGTTGAGTGAAGACTGAGCTAAATGATTAGTTTAATATTCAGTCCCACTGGATTAAGATTAAGGTATACAGTAAACCTGCCATTTACCGCCAAATTTCACACAACATTCTCCTCTCCTACTGCCTGCCTTTGTACTGTTTTGAAAAGACACTGTCGTTGAATCCTGTGTTTTACGCTGCCCAAGACATCTGTATTCAGTCAAAGAAGCACAAACAAGCTTAGTGTTTTCCCTCATAGCAGAATAACAATATGTGGGGCCTTTCTTCAGAGTGACGCAGCACTTTGGATTTGGAGCTGTGAGACTACTGGATTTCTACTTTTTATGAAGTCACAGAAAAAAGTATCTTAAGTGTCATGAAGAAAGCTCACAATACTTTAACTAGGATCTTGCACAGATAATCATTCATTTGGGATACAGTAGAGGGTAACACAAGAGTGGATTTCCAATTGCATCTCAAATGAATGAAAGCTAAATCCTTCCCTGTCCCAATCTCAGAGGAATGAGATCTGTTCCATCCCATTCCTGTTTCTTTTTCAGATTTATATTTATAGAGATGAACAAATTGCAATTTTCTACACCGGTTCTAATTTACTGTCTTTCTAGAACTATATTAACCATCATACACATGTACCTGATGGTTAAACCATTTCAACATACGAATAGTAATGTTATCCATTGTGAATATATATATTGAGTATAGCCCCATTGAATCATAAATTCCTCATTTGCCCTTACAACAACAAGCTCAAGGGTAGAAGTAAAGAAGACTAAAAGTTCTAACTCCTATGTTTAAAACACCAATCCTTCTCAAAATCCCTGTCATTGCAAACAGCTACAAGCCTGCAAAATAGGGATAAAGAGACTCATTTAATGAGTGGCTGATTCAGTGGTTTTCAATAAGAATTGATCACAACATAATTATGAATTAGAAGTAATTAAACTGGTGTCTCATTCTATGAAGGCCTGCTTCAAGGCACTTTTTACTTCAAAGCTCTTTTCCCTTGATAAAAGATAATTATTATCAGAAGCCAAAAGACGTTTCACTTTATGTGAAAAGCTTTGCGTCAACTTTTGTAACGTGTTTTACGACCCACTAGGCATTAATTATAGGGCAGACATCATTTTCAACGTATAAAATAGAACACTTATCTTGAAGGCTGCAGTCCTTTTGGTTGTTTGTTAATTAAATAGTGTTCCTGCAGGAAGGCACTTGAGTGTGTTTTAACAACATAGAGAGCAAAAAGACCCTTTGTTTATATCCTCAAAGTGGGAATATTCTAGAGGTGTATAGATGCTATAGATACTTAAATATTTGTAAAATAATTGGAAACGGATGCAGCGTTTATGTTCTTACACAAGATCTATCAAAGCAGCGCTGTGACACCCAACATAATTCACTCTCCCAGTGCTGTGAAGTGTGGTGTTTAATGCAGAGCTACATGCAGGACAGGAGGGATCAGAGTGCAGCTGTACATCACAGAGCTTGATGCTGCAGCAAACATCAGAGCGTCCGCCTCCTCCCTCGACCTCTGTGTCCTAACATCCAACATCACCTGTCACCTCCACCCACCTCACCTGCAGCTGCAACTTCATGCAAACAATGCAGCATTGTACAGAATATGTGGGGAAATAAATAAAGTGTGAAACTAAGCTATTATATTAGAATGCAGGATATGTAATGGCATAAAACATTGAGCATTTATTGTCATGCTGATGGAAAGTTACTTCAATATCAAACATATTTCAGAAAAAGAAGCCTTCTTCAGTTCAATTCATGTCGATATCAACAAACGTTCTGCTATGTATACTTGACATAAGATTAACAACATGCTTTTTTCTCCCAGGCTATGCTATTGGTATATTTAAGTATTACAAAAAAACAATGGTTTAAAAATGTTATACTGTATATACTCTGATTATACTCGCCCATAAAGTTGGAATGCTTTTGTTTTCAGACACATTCCTCTTTTTATCAATCAATCAATCACTGTTTATTTATATAGCCCAATATCACAAATGTTACATTTGTCTCAGTGGACTTCACAGTTTGTACAGAATATCAGTATGACAATACGACACCCTCTGTCCTTAGACCCTCACATCGTACAAGGAAAAACTTCCAAAGAAGGAAAAACCCCACAGTTTAAAGGGGAACATGGGAGAAACCTCAGGGAGAGCAACAGAGGAGGGATCCCTCTCCCAGGACGGACAGACGTGCAATAGATGCCGTGTGTAAATCGAAAAGATAATACATTTACAACATTGGTAGACCAAATGTTTGGCAATGCATGTGTCTATAATAAGAAGATGAATCCACGAGGCTGTCAACAATCCTGTGGGAGTCATCAGGGAAGTAGTATGATGAAAGTCAGGCAGGACCACGACTATTTGCACACACAATCATTTCATGGGAAGAGTTACAACATATTGTATTCCAACGGTATGTAGTGTACTAAACCCACAAAAAAGTTAAAGATGGTTGTTCTGAAGCCTTTCTTGTTTCCAAATGCAAGATATCAAATAATGTAGCAACATGTACCTGCTTCAGTAACATGTTTCCTTTCATTTTCTTTCCTTTTGTGTTTCTGTTCTCGTAGCCAATGGTAGTGAGCTCTTCATTGGCAGCGTCCGGTACGAGGACACTGGAGCCTACACATGCATCGCCAAGAACGAGGTTGGCGTGGACGAGGATATCTCCTCTCTGTTTGTTGAAGACTCGGCCAAGAAGACCCGTAAGTCAAAGAACATTATCTCTGTTAAAGATAAAGCCAGAAATAAGTCCTCGCACCCACTTTTTGTTCCAGAAAGATAGTTTAAACAGTATATTGGTGTAAATCCTCATGGCATGGCTGCTTGTTAGATAATAGTGTTAGTAGTAATTAGGTTAAGTTATATAATCCTTTTCATAGTAGTGCTGCGATCATGCTACCAGCTTGATGAACCCAACAGATGTATGGAGTTTTGAACTAAAAATGAACCTCAGGCAGCTTATTTTATCCCATATTTTATAGCCAGGGACAAGCACCCAAATTACATATTTTATGTTACTTTGATATCGGTTCTTTCATTAGATTGCATCATTTTGACGAGTTAACAATCGCCATCGAGAAAGAGTTTATCGGGCCAGTTAAGATTAAACAGAATAATCTCTGACTTCCGTTTGATCTCTTGATTTAAGAGGAAATATGATCCTGTCAACAGCAGAAAGGAACATTTTGTAGCTGTCAAATATGTTTGGTCTTGGCATGACATGAGATCAATCACCCCCTCTCTTTCTTGGATGATCTGTCTTTTTTTTCTGAAGGTGATTTAATGTTTTCCCCCTCTTTTCCCTTTCTATTGCTGGGTGGCTGAATCTGCAGTTGCGAACATTCTGTGGAGAGAAGAAGGTAATTCATTAAAGTAAAAAAAAAAAAACTTTTATACTCTTGTGAATAGGAAAAAATGGTGGGCATAGTTTGTGGCTCTTCAGGGCCTGCAGCTGAATATCTGCATTTTCCAACACGTTTGCTGTACTGTCCAGAAGAATCACAACACTGTTTTCTCTCCAGCAAAACTTTACTTCCAACCTTGCTTTCTTCCTTTTGTGCCCAGGATGTTTCTTTTTTTTCTGGAGTGCTTTCTAATCTATTTTTCAGATCACCTGGGGAGGAAGCATTTACACACAAGCAGGGATTTCATGCATTATGCAAATAAAACCACAGACCAAGTGTGGTGGCTACACGAAAACAACTTTGTGGTGTTCAGCAGTATAAAAATCCATGCTGTCCTTATACTATATATTACATCAGTACGGCCACAAGAACAGTTTTACTACTGCACTGGAAAACCGCTGCGGTTTAGAGTGCAATACAAACACAATCTGTTTTATATACATCATCACCACATCAGGTTTACCACAAAACCAAACGACGTGTAAGCATTTGGATTATTTCTAAACACTATCAGCACTCAAAGCTGCCTCATTAACTGTGTGTGTGTTTGTGTGTGTTGTGCAAGTGCTTGTTTTTTGTCTCTGTATTCATACAGGGTGTGCATATTCAGTGTGCTTCTTTGGTGTACTATGTTTATCTCACAGCGTTATGACAGCCTGACAAATCAATCATCATCACAGTTTTTGTCAATGCCGCAAGTGTGTTTATGTGCTTATGCTTATCATCTGTGCTCATGTGATGTGTTCCTGCCGGCAGTAATAGACTGCTGTCGAATCATCCAAATGCCTCAGCATCAGACTGTGATGCTAACTCATCAGCAGCTGTTTACACGTCGAGATGTGAAATGTTTCCTATTTGAGGCAATGCCTTTAATTTGATGCTTCTTGCTACAGTATGTGGTTGGCGTGTTGCTGACAGGGCCCTTTGTAGGCTTTGTCAAAATGGCTGGCAGACACACACTGCCCATCCCCGCTAACGCGATAGCACGCTAACAGGAGTCCTCGAGCAGGGAAATTGAAATGCCAGTCACAAATGTCAGATAAGATGGGAGCGGGATATTCTGTTGTTGTAAATTTGTATTTGTTGTTTTTTTCTTCAAGCGTGTTTCAACCTTTGTCTGTCTTCTGTGTTCTCTTCCAGGGTTGAGCGTGGGAAACATGTTCTATGTGTTTTCTGATGAGGGTATCACTGTTCTTCAGCCCAGTGAATGTGAGATACGCAAACACATGCAGCGGGCAGAGAGGATTGTTGCTACATATGTAAGTGCACGTTATGCCATTATTTTGCTGTCAGGTTTAAATTGTGTTATAGATTCAATAAGATTGATGTATATTACTAATTGGTAATTTCAGGTTACACTAACCTATATTAAAGTTTCAATATTCCTCCATATACAACTTAATAGATTCCATCTATCTATCTATATCTCTCTCTCTCTCTCTCTCTATCTATCTATCTATCTCTCTCTCTCTCTCTATCTATCTCTCTCTCTCTCTCTCTCTCTATCTATCTATCCATCTATCTATCTATCTATCTATCTGTGTATCTATCTATCTGTCTATCTATCTATCTATCTATCTATCTATCTATCTGTCTATCTATCTATCTATCTATCTATCTATCTGTCTATCTATCTATCTATCTATCTATCTGTCTGTCTATCTATCTATCTCTCTCTCTATCTATCTATCTCTATCTATCTATCCATCTATCTATCTATCTATTTCTGTAGTTATCTAGGAGGGTTTTAGTGTAAAAAGATTGCGACCAAAATGAAGGCTATCCTTCCTTCGATGTCCTCCCTGTTGTCAGAGCGGGGCTCCTCACCTAACTAATGTAATGGGATTACTCGTGTCCATTAGTCGACAGCTTGCACCAATATAGAGTCTATACTACAGACCCTGAGGTTTCTGGAGAACATCCCTCTCTCAGAGCAATGGGCTTTAGATGGTAAAAGTCGCTTGTTCCTCTGAGGGATTTGGGTTTTACAGGACCCTGTAATTGTATTAGAGATCAATACAAACTCAATAAGCCATGTGTTAGCCAGTTCCTGCTGTAAACAGCACTTTCTCCACTTTGGTGAGGTGGAGAGAAGGTGAAAACTCTTGCATGTGTGTCTGACGTTGTATATGTGTGTGTGGTTGTGTGTATTTGTGATTACATACTAGTATATATGTTGTGTGTGTAGAGGAGTGTGTGAATAAATGTCTTGTCAGCAAAGACAGCATGCTGCAGAGCCTTTAAGTGCAGTGTTTCCTTAGCCAGTTATGGTTTATATATTTGGAAAGTTACACACTTAAAAGTGAAAACACTCATTATGAAATAAATGTGTGTTATCAATAATAATAATATTACATAATATAGTAATATTATTATTGGAATGAAGTATGCATGTCTGGTAGGACTGGGTTATATGGCAGAATTTCATATTAGTTGTTCAGTCCTTTTGTCCTTAATTTAATTGTATAGCATGCTCTGCAGTGCACATTTTTATTTGATTGTATGTCAGCTCTTTTTTTCTTGCCTTGCCTTCACTCCCAGTACCAAAAATGTACTGAACTGTACTTTGTCAAAATAATTTGTACATTTAATCTTATCAATAAAGTCTAAAAAGAGAACAGTAATTGCTATATATTTTGAAAGTTGAATTGATGATTTGTAGATGTATTTGTATTGCATATTAACAATTGTTTACCTTTCCAAATTGTACTTTTAATGATAATGAAACAATTCCCATACCTCCTATCATCCTCTCTGTTGCCTGTTTGGTCACCCCAGGAGGAGATGTGCCCTAAGGGTGAGGGGGTGTCACCTCAGCACTGTGTGTGGTCCTCAGCAGTCAACGTCAGGGATAAGTACATCTACGTGACCCAGCCCCTCCTGAGCCGACTGCTGGTGGTCGATGTTCAGACGCAGAAGGTGGTGCAGGTGGGTGGAGCACCAAAGTCTCAGAAACATCTCAGATATGAAGTATCTGAGAGGCAAAGAAGGGTTGTAAGTTCCATCCACATATTCTGTCGAATCATACCAGAGTTTGGGATAGCATTATTGGCTATTTATTGGATTAAAAGTAGTTTATACTCTTGCAACTGCAGCAAAACTCTATATCCAAAACCGCACAATGTTCACACCCAGCTTTGGGCTTTTTTTTCAAGTGAAGCAAACGTACTACCGCTGTGATACCGAGGTTGTTACTGTATTCACACAGCCATCACACAGGCTTGGACGGCAATTTCCTTTTTCTACACTGCAACACATGATGATATTGTTTATTTGTTTACATATTTCCATTCTACAGCACATGGCTCATCAACTGTTCAAGATGCCTCATTTTTTCGCCTACAACATACAACTTTAACATGATACCATAATGGTCACAGATGTTACATTTGGAACCAACTCAGAGTTAACAAATCAAAGTAAAAAAAAAGGCCTGCTAGAATAGAAAGCTCATCAGGTCGAGGAAATGCTTTTGTTAATTGCATTTCCATTTAAAGATTTAAGATGGCCAAACTGACATATTTTATTTTGAAACCTTTACTCCAGTATCCATAGCTAAGTTAAGCCCAAGTCTTGGTTTCTTTAAAAGCTAACAGAATACAAATCCAGTCGATAAACATTACTTGCGAGCGTGTTTGGCTTCCAGTCAAACAGCATCACCCACATTAGGTGCATTCGATTTAACTTGTCTTGCTCCTGAAATGCCACAGATGTAAGAAGACCACATGCAAGGGGAAATAAATCAAATGCACCTCAAGCGCCCGAAACAATATGGTGCCCAGGTGGGTGCTGGCTGCCTCACCATTCATCTTGCCTGTAACGGCTGTTTAGAGACTGAATCCCTCAGGGGTTCTTCCCAGGGTCAACATCATTTATAGTGAGGTACAGGATGAGAGGAAATAGGCCTAACTCAAGGAGAAGGAGGCGGGAGAGCAGAAGGGAGTTAAGTGAAAGTCTGAGTAGCAGGATGAGAGAGACGGCAAAGTGAGCAGGAAGCAGTGAAAAACTTTCTTCTTCTCCTTCAGTTTAAAGGGAAGATATTTCCAACTCAACTTATTCCATAATGTCACTCAGGCTGTATCACTTGTAATTATTTAACTGTGCAATACTCATATTACTTAGGGTCATAACTGTATAACACTTTACATTTCGAACAATAACCTGGTTTTCATCATTTATATTCTATTTTATTTTATCTTTATTGCACGTTTTTACTTTCACGTCATATGTTTATAAATAATTGTATTTTTGTGTTTTTTATTTAATTTTAATTGTTATATCTTTTATTCTAAAATATTGCAACTATCATAAATCATTCTCCCTGGGAGAAAATAAGGTATTCTGATGCTATATATGACTAATTTACTTTGAAAAGAAATACAAGATTGACTAAATACTGAGAGATATGACCTCCACTTGTTCCAAATGAAACCAAATCCACTAAAAAAAGGAATATGTGATAGAATACTACGTTTATTTACCTTTTGGTGATGAAATATTATCACAAGAACAATAACAGAAGTGATATATTGACAGGAAAATCTGAGATGTGTTCTGGTTCATTGTGGTGCAGAAGCTGCCCACTATAACCGAGAACCCCCCCCCCCCCCCCCCCCCTTTTTTTTCTCTTTCTCTTTCCAACACTGTAAAAACTGATTTTCTCTCCTTGATCAGCCGACCCTCTCTCTCTCTCTCTTTCTTGAAGACCCTCTCTGACCTACTGTATGGGTGCAGGAGGTTAATGCATCCAGCCTTTTTTCGTCTGTGCTCTTTCTTTGTTATTTCAAAGCCTTTTTTTTCCAAAGCACATTTCCAACTTTCCTTTCAGCAATGGCCTTTTATTATAAGAGAGAAGATGGCAGAGTACAATAAAAGCACTTAATCCACTGACAGAAGGAATGCATTAACGAAACAATTGCTTTCATTTTTTTAAATGGTAAAGTCAGAGCACTGCATTTATTATCCTCACGGAGACGACTGAACGCAGTGGTTAGGAAGCGTATGAGGACATGTCTAAACACTAGATTGCCACATTAATAAAAGACTTTGGGCAACACTTTCCTTTATAAGTATGAGAAGGAAAACCCAAATGAATCGCTCTATACTCATAACCTGGACTGTTACAGATAAGATGGCCTATTCTCTGTTTGGGCGGAAATGGTGGACTAAAACACAACAATTCTCTTTTCTCTTTCACGAGAAAACCAGAAATATAGATCCTAGAGAAGCACAGGTGCCGTTATTGAGGATTTGTTATTGTTGGGTCTTTTATCAACATCCTTTTGATAGAAAGTTTCCTTTAATACAATGTCACCTTTAGGAATGTGTTACATCCTTTCATGATTTCCAGCAGACACTATGAAGGCAGTAAACATGTGGAGAAGCTGCACTAATGAAGGCTTTCGAGTGTTTTCATCCTGTTGCATGCAAGGAAATGCTCCTCTTTTCTCGAACAAAGGGATCTAACCTTGACTCTGATGTTTCAGACCTGTGCTGGGTCAGCCTCACATTGCACGTGGAAACAACGGCATTTCGGCTAATTAAAAAGAAGGTAGCCAAGACCTTGGGTGATCTAGTAACATAAACGCCTTACAATGGCTTTGTTTGTATATAGTCATGTTTTAGGTTTTAGTTATGCTTTTTCTTTTCTCAGACTCAGTGAGCATCCTTTAGCAACGTTTTAGATATTCCTTTTTCCTGAAGGACAATATTGAGAATCTATGCATGCATCTATGACACCAATGTGTATTTTTTTAACTGTGTTTTAGTAATAAAGTAATACATACTTAGTTTTCTGTTTTTGAGTTCAGGTTTGATAGCATTTTATTGAATCTGAAACATTTGAAACCCTTTATCAAGTCTTATTAAGATTTTAACATTTTCAAGTCATAGAGTTGCTGACTCAGAATTCAGCTTGAAATCTTGATATGATAGTATGTATAAATGTTTGAATTCAATTCAATTGAAGTGACACAATGGGCAAGGCCAACTCTCTAGATATGAGATCCATCACTGTCTTCTTAACCATATGAACCTACAGAAGACTATTTTTAGAAATGCATTATTCAACCTTTATTTTGACAAAATGTAGTATAATAAATTGTAATAGAGACTTTAAATACAACATATGCATGTTGAAAAAACACATGACAAATAACGTCCTTTGCACCAATAAACAAAGATAGGCACTTAATATCAAGTCTTGACACAAATAAATAAACCAAATTAGGAGCAACTGGAAGTGAACTGAGTGAAGAGGGGATTCGTCAAAGCCGTATGTTGCCATCAAACTAAACTAAAAGCAAGCAAAAAAAGGTAGGACTTAAAATGTGACTTAAAATTGTCAATGGTGGAACAGGAGTCTATACTAGAGCCCGGGAGCAGCAACAGAAAAAAGCTTTATTACCAGTCAATTCAGATATGCAGTCCACACATAGTGTACATGCACACATGCTGAGTTGACACTTGGCTGACCGGTGCTGAGTGGAGGGCCGGACCTACCATTACTGAACACAGAGCTGGTGGTCTCGCTCCACTGGTGAGGGTGTCAGCAGCTCCCTGTCCGCCAGCCAGAAGCAGGGTAATAGATTGTGTTATTTCTCGTTGTTGACATTGCAGCAGACCTGAGGTTGAACACACTCCACATCTCTCTTTTTTCCTATCTGCCTGTTCCATTCGTTCCTCTATTTTGTATTCTTTCTGTTCTTACACATGCTGAAAAAAAACGTTCTCCTTCACTTCAACATCTGCATCATTTTGATTAAGGACTGTATGACCTATTCATAAGTAGGCAATGGGACTTTAGCAAGCTGCAGATATGTTTTCAAATGAGTCCTTTGTGAAATGTGATGGTGGCACCATTTGTGATTTGCAGCGTTAACAAAATGATCTTCGAGGTACTGGTTGTTATACAATATTTTCTGATTTCGCAGTCAGCTCCAATACGATTCCAAGAGCATTATTATTAAGCAATCCACCGGTAATAAACTGATATAAAGTTTTATTTATTTTTTATGATTAATAAAAAGGATCCTCTGAGTTTGACATTTTGTGGACAAATGTAATAGTATTTATAGGTCAACATAGCCAATGATTTAGTTTAGTACAGTATCTGTAAAAAGGCCATTATGCCTGATATCTCGAGAAAAAAGAATCTTACTTACATGTGGAATTGTTGTTGTTATTATATATCATTGATTAGCCTAGTAAACCTTCAATATATCAATTAAATATTGTTCTTTCCTTTTATGCCCATCTCTTCTAGGCAGTAACAACAGATTCTTTTCCAGTGAAGATGCTCTATGACAAGTCACATGACCAGGTGTGGGTCCTAACATGGGGGGATATGGACAGAACACATCCAACACTTCAGGTTAGTGTGTGTGTGCGTGTGCGTGTGCGTGTGCGTGTGTGTGTGTGTGTGTAATGTTTAACGAACTTTGTAATGTAATAGAAGTTTATTTTTTCTGTAGCAGTGCCACTCGCTTCTAAAGACTGCAAAAACGCTTAAAGGCAAAACAGACTTTTGAACTGAGTGCTTATTTTTACTGTTTAATACAACATTTTTTTGGTGGCAACTTTGTCAATCACTCATGTCTGCAAATGTTGTACTAGTGTTCATATCCAACACTAGCATGACATTTTAGAATATTTAATGAATGTGTTGATTATGGTACAGGTTGTTCATCTATGTGGAAGCCTCCTTTTTAAATCAGTCTTGTAATTATTAACATAAAATCCACCCGAGTGTAGCTTTAATAGTAAAAGAAAAAAAGCCCTTCTTTATTTATCATTACTTTTGCTGTGTGTGTATTTGGGATCTCTGATGAGGGATTATCTTCCTGGAAGAATATAATCTATATAAACTGCAGAAAGTTCCTCATGCGAGGAAAACGCACCTTGTGACTAATAGAGCTTTATTGTGTATCTGCGTTTCCTGTTTACATGATAAGTATTTACATGACCACAAATAATCTATGGATGTTTTAGAGCATTTACAAAGCCAGCAAAACAGTAATTCACAGCTGCGGTGCTGTTGGCTGGTGCATGGCGTCCCTTTGGACCACTGGTGTTGGAGACGTCACAAATGAGAAATGGTCACAGGTGTGATTGTATTTAATCCACCTCGGGGGATTGGGTGAGGTGAGGGAGGAGGGGGGAGGGGGGAGGGGGGAGGGAAGGGGAGGGGGGAGGACATGGAGGGAAGGGGAGGGGAACAGAGCCGGTGCCTGGGGGATGCTTGTGTTGGTGTTTTCATAGGGGCGTGTGTGCGTGCGTGCGTGCGTGCGTGCGTGCGTGCGTGCGTGCGTGCGTGCGTGCGTGCGTGCGTGCGTGCGTGGACAGATCCTATTATAATCATGTGAGGTGCTGTGTTCAGTCTTTACTGTTTGTGGAGTCTATTCATTAAAAAGATTGTAGAGGGATGATAAACTCTCAAATGTATGACTCTTCAGAGGATCTCTGGAATGACTCATTTTATATTCAGAGAATCACTTGCATAATGCACTGCATAAATTATTTCTTTTTTGTTTGCTTTGTTAGTTTTAAACACAAGTGGTTCATGAACATTTTGAAAGTTAATTAGTGAGTGTGTAGCTGTTAATGGTACTGGAGTCGTCCTAAAAATAAAACTTCATTTTGTAAAAACAGGGCTTTTGAAAGAAAATGTAATGGTAGATTGTTTTGGATCTGAAGGTGCCACTATGGTGTGGCAATAAAGAGTTGTAAAAAGACGGCCACCTGTGTGTGGCTTGTAGCAGTTTTCTACTAAGATGTACAATCTCCATGGCCAAGTAGACGGTATGTGTGTTTTCTTTCAGTTTTGCACCTTCTCTTCAGAGTGTAGGTGTACTACTATAGCAGATACTTTGTTTCTGTTTGGCTGTCAGGGCTTTTTTTTTTTTAGTTGTTTTTAAACTTCTTTTAGAGGTTATAGTTTTAAATGAAGTAGAACATTATTTGAAAATATGTTTTTGTAAATCACAGACAAAACCATTTCCACCTCATATAATTTGAAACAATCAGAGCAGCTTTGCATAACATTTATGTCTGCTTCCTGAACTGCAGAAAACACATTAAGGTTTTTTATATCTTATTAATTTATCCACTTCCTGCAGTTGTTCTGCATTAATGAATAATTATAGAGCAGTGGTTGAATCACTCAAAAATGCAATTGCAGGGAAATTGCATAATGGATTGCAGGCCACGGGGATCACACCACAAATAAATTGTTTGATAATGCCATCATCATGTGGACTGAAAGTAATTGACCCGTTCAGCAGCAGCCTGTCACTAACAGAGGCACTGCTTCGTGTCCATACATGTGTATGACTGCGTCTGCACATGATGTGAAGTTGTGTAGTCAGCTCAGTGTGTGTGGTTTCTTTAAGCAGCCACGTTTTAGGATGGCTCAATACCTCTGTGTAAACATCAGAGGGAGTGTGATTGTCAATTCATTAGAGAAGATAAATGGAGGAATCACTGCCGGGCAGAGAGGAGCGTGGCCTTTCAGACTGTCAGTCCACTCTGCATCTACGTGTCAGGAAGACCTTAACTCTTTGATTTCTCTCCGTGCCTCCCCATTTATCTGTCAATTAGTCTTGCAATTAAATCATTATTTCAAAGAGTCGTGAGGAAACTACATGTATTCAATTCAGGCTGTCAAAATACTTTTAGTTTTTAAATCTATCCATTAAAAGGTATTTTTTATACATGTTGGTTATTAGTTGGTTTGATATCTCCTACAATAATTACATAAATAAAATAGTCTGAAAACGACTGTTGTATAATTCAAATGAGGAGCATCTGGTAGCTTGGTATTTAAACACACGCCATATAACAGCAACATCGATTTGATTCAAGCCTGTGACCTTTGCATGTTTATACTGTAGCTGTCCAATAACAAGACTTAAATCAATACATATCTGATGAAAGAACAAGTTAACAAGGCTATTAATCTGGAGACATTTGATGGCAACCAATAAAATGTGTTTTGTTAGAGTATAATACATGAAGATCTGATCTGCATATCAGCAAACATCTGTCTCCTTTCTTTCTAATGCAGGCTTTTATAAATCAATGATCTACGCCTCAGGAATTAATAGACACAAAGTATTCATTTCAGTTTTAAAGTTCTGCATTGATCTGGAACAGCGTGCCTTTGAGTCTTCCAGGGAATCCATAATGTGCTTTATTGCTCCCCAGGACCTACAGGATGAGTTATCTGACAGTACATAAAACAATAAAACATGTAACATGCGGTGCGCAGTAAAACATAAAAGTGCCTTGTAAGATTTATTGAATTCAAATCATACAAATACAGTGGAGCATTTGAGGAGTGCCATCTTCTATGGGTGTTCTGTTGTTAGATGGGAAAGTATAAAAAAATAAGGCTGAGGGAATGTTGTTGTAAAGCAAAAGCTACTCAGTCAGATCCAAATCCCCCACAGGTATTAGAGCAGCCGGCGAGGCGGGGCCGGAGTAAAACTCAATTGGCCTCGTTGCTGAGTGTGTGGATAGGAAATCCAAGCATGAGCGATGACAAAGAGAAGCCAGTGGCATTAAGTCGAGAGCACCTGCAGCCCTGGAGACCTGAGCTGCTGCCTAATAATACATGAGCGATACTCCATTGAACCTCATTAACTGTCCTCATTGTATTCTGCAACTGTTGTAATGACTGTTTTTTAACGAGGATTCTTTTCATGTTTCACACGGAATAAGAACCTGCAGATCTATTATTTTTCTTTAAAAAAAGATGAGACGGAGAAAGCTTTTGAGGAGTATAGCAGCAGAAGTAACATCTCTGCAACTTAAACTGCTATTTTTATTTCCTGCATTTCTTACTTCTGAGGGAGGAGCATGGATTTGCCCCCCCACTGGGCATCAGGTAGGGGTTCAGCTAGAGCTGCGTAGGCGTGGACATCAAAACAGATTTTAAGCTTAGTTCTTTCTTTTAATACAATATTCTATATGCGCTCCAGCAACATTTGCCTAGGTGTCTAAACCTGGAGTCGCTTCAATAAGCTGAGTTTCTCTGAGAATATCAAATCTGAAGAAAAAGAGCTGGTTTTATTCTGCAAGCAGGGGCAGGAGTTGACTGGTTGCTTTTAATAAATGCACAGTGTCACATGTGTAGGTCCCATAAACACCTCCACTTGTCCTTGGCTATGACCTGATCAGCAGGCATGCATGATGAAGCTTGTGTCATGGACGAGGCGGTGCCCATCAAAAGTGTGCGCTCTTCCCACCTTGCACTTTACAAACATGCTGATTCAGTACCAGGTGTGTGACATGAGAAATGGGGATTTTATTGTCGGGTGTGCGTCGAAGACAACCATCTTTGTGTGAGATGCTTTATCAGATAACGGAGGTGGAGCCGCTTTTCATCAGCCGGAGTCATGCACTGTAGATGTGTATCTGTTAAAGGATTTATGGGCATGTCATCTGGACAAGCTCCGGCTGTTAGGTCCTGAAATATGAGGCTTTATTCTGATGAAGCTTAAAGGTCACAGTTTTAACTATCGCAGGTTTTATATGAGCAGGGCATTTAACTGTAGCCTAACCAATACTGGAGTTTTGAGGAAGAAGTGAGATGTTTTTGATAAGGATCCCTATAATTTGTTGAAACATTGTGACCAGGTGAATCATAAACTTGTCAGAGATCTGTGGTAGACTATGTAATATAGATACTGTTTCCAAATGACCATTTAATTAACATTTATTTGACATTTATGCACTGAAATGTATTACTTATTGGCATATTCCCCAACACTGATTCAGCTTGGATAAATGTCAGCGTCTGATCTGTCTAGCTCTGCACTAGATCTCAATCTTGTTGTAACTGGTTCTAACATTGCATAGAAAGTATGTCTGATTAAATGTTTGGATGCTATTTTACCGGTTCATGGAAATTAGTTTTCAAGTATTTTTGTTTTCAATTACCAAAACAGATATTAAAACAAAATTAAAATAAAGTTAGAATTCTACAGTTATCAGATAATAAATATATTGGTTCCAAACTCACAGACTGTATACTAATTATTATTAAGCCCTTTAAGACCCATCCAATCTTGGTGCCATTAGTAAGACTTACTACATTCAGCGCACATTCTCCATCTGCATCTTCTAGAGCCTATGTCTTGGTAACATTTCACAAGAAATTGTGGTTTATTGTGTTATTAGGTTAGATTGATATCAACACTTACTTATATTTCCTAAAACAAGTCTGGCTGTAGTTATATTCATAGGAATGTACAGAAGCATTGTGGTTGTAGTAAAATATCTCAGGCAGCATTAACATTTTGGTTCAGTACAAATTATGGCGTTCTTTTTGGTTTTTAAATTCATGTTTTTGCAACTCTGACATTGCAGTGCTGGCCAGATTTGAAGTTAACTATTTTCATATCCATCTGCAAAGTTGATGAGTCAATGAATAACATTTTTATTTGGAATTGTGTAAATCTTTTGCTTACAGTCTCTGCTCCCAATATACATTAAAAAGGAAAATATCATTGTCCATATCATGGTAATAATCCTTCTTATAGATACCTAATGTTTATACTGCTCTGTGCACTGTCTATAGGTCATTCCTCAAGCCAGTGTGGGAGAGGTGCATCATGCCATCCGCACGACTTTCCAGAGGGTCAGCGACTTCTTTATTCCTCCAACCAACCTCATCATCACACACGTGAGGTAAAGCAGCAAACCTGCGCACACACACTCACACTAACCCCTTCATCGTCCTCCGACCTCATTGCTCGCTCATCACGGCTGTCGTACTGAAGTGAAGGAGAAAAGAGCAAATGAGAATCCTAATGAGAATCTCCATGTTTGATAATCACTGCCCCCAAAAATCTAGAAAGGCTATTAACCTTTCCTCTGACCTTTGTCAATTTAGGTTTGCCTTCGTCTTCCTCAAAAACGAACCTGCGGTACACAAGATCGACCTTGAGACCTTCCATCGCGTCAAGACCATCAGCCTGAAGAACTACAGCTGCATACCGGTCAGCATGGCGTACACACACCTGAGCGGCTTCTACTTCGTCCAGTGCGAGAGCAAGAGCCACCTGAAAGCCCCGCCCCAGCTGCTCATCGACAGCGTGACGGACGCAGTGATTGGTCCAAACCTGAACATCACTGGGCAGGCCTTTGTGTCGCCGGATGGCCGCTACATTGTGACGCCCGACCCTCAGAGCTCCAAGCTGATAGTACAGACAGTGTCGTTCCAGGGGGAGCTGGGTCTGAACCAGGAAGTGGACGAGCCAATAGCTGTGTCCGATTTGGCTTTCCAGCCGTCCTTCACGGAGTCCAACCAGCACGTGGTTGTCGCCACCTCGGGCTCAGGGAAGGACCTGCTGTTTGCCGATCTGTCCTCGGGCCGCACTGAGGTTCTGCGGAGCCTCAAAGAGCCCCTGGCCCCCCAAGCCTGGCCCTGGGGAGGCCCCAACAGAGTAGTGGTCTCCAGCGGTTTGTTTGGACAGTACCTGGTGACGCCGTCAGCCGAGTCCCTCTTTGTCCTGAATGGCAAACAGAGATCGCCTCACTGCGAAGTGTCAGACATCAAGAGAGGAAACACAGTCGTCTGGGTCGGCGAGGTATGAGTAAAAAGGGAAAGAAAAAGAAAGATGAAGACAAACGTAAATGGAAAAAAAGGAAAGATCAGGCCAAATTACCTATTATAAAGATTTATGTGAAGATCAGTTGTGGACTCAACCCTGGGACTGAGCGAGAGGGATACATGCCTGGGTTTATTGTAACAAAACTACACTTAAAATTAGAGTAATTGAGAAAAACATTAAGAAACCCTGTTGTGATATTTCTATTGGGAGAAAGTGTCAATGCCGTTCAGTGCAACAGTGATCTATGTTCACTTAACTATACACAATTGTACATTATTGCACTTCCTTCCATGTTATCACAGCAAATAGGTACCTGAAGAGGGGTTATTAACAAACTATGAACTATGCACAATGCTCACTTTTTTTAGAGTAAAAAGCTTTCCGATTTTGTTTATCTCAACAATGTTTGTCGTTATCACCAGTGCTGCATATAATCACCAGAAACTGTCCGTCTGTCCTGTCTGCCTTTAGTGTATGTGTGTTCTGAGTCCTTTTAAAAGCTACCAACCCATCAGTTTATTGGCCTTTGTCATGGTATTGTACTGTATCCTCCCTCTGAAAGCTCTCATTCTTCTCATGCCGGCAGAGGTTGGCTTTATGCACATGTGTAATTCCTTCTATTTACATTGTCTATCCAAAGAGCCCGATTGGTCCATAAGCCGTTGTCATTGGATGTTTTCGCTCGCAAAGGCAGCCTAACCAGAAATGAACAGTACATATTGCGGTCTCTTGCAATGGTGTGATCTCCCCCCTGCTGTCCCTCACATTTATTCTGTACCTGCAGCACAATTCTGATCTGCAGAGCCTGAAAATGCCACTTAGCAGATTTCCTCAGGGTAATGACTCCTCTTTACTCTGACCCCGCATGCTGAGGCCGCGCCAAAGTGCCATCAACTCGCTATCGAACGGGCTGTGAGCATTTTTACTTCCTCCCTGAGAGCTGTGCATCAAGATCAATCTCTAAGGCAGGTACTACACTTGCCATGTGGTAGTTATTCCACTTTGTTACACATAGAAAATATTTGGATTTCTTTCTGTCTAGTCTGCAAGAAAAAGTTTTAAAAGCAACCACATTCGCACAGGAATAACAGCCTGTTTCACTGACACTAACCTACCGTACTGTTTTAAACATCGACATTGTATTACTACTTTTGAACAACCCCGGTATTATCTGTCTCGAGGCAGGAACCGAATAAACACCAGCAACTCTTTGTCCTTCAAAATAGCAGGTATGTTCACTCTGTGGTTGTGTAATTAGCTTTTTAATCGTAATGATGATCCATGAGCAGCAAGATAACGCCACTGCAAATCTGCAGATGTAATAATGTTATCAGAAGTTACTGGAATCTCTCAAACATGTCTGCCTCTTGACGGTAGTGACGAGGAACATTCATATTTATCCAGCATTCACAGTTAATGTCTCGTAGATGTAGGGCTAACATTAGTGCCAGTCTTGGGGAAAACAGTCTTTCTTTGGTTTTTTGTCATTGCAAAGTAACATACTAAAAACAATTACTATCCCCTAATATTCAGTGTTAATATCCTTTACCATCTGGCAGAGATGTTTTCTCATTTTAGGTTATAAAATAAATCATGAGTTACTGTGAATTGGCTGTTTTTTACACGCAAAATGTGTATTCTCCCTAAATTCACATTTAATTAATTGTTATTTATAAAACAGACACACTTAGAACACTTTAATTGCAATTTTTTTATATATACTTTAATTTATTTTTTAAATGAACTTCCTTAACCAGCATAGACCAGCTATAGGCAAAATAGTATAATCAATTCATTAATAAAAATACATCTTTCATATCAAATACAATGTAAACTGTAAAAGTAAAGGACTTTAGAAAAAGCAGCATTAATGCTCAGTCCCTGCATGGAAAGATAGATATTTTCTAAATGATCTCAGCAAGCTCTCTTGTATATCATACAGTATGTGATCACTGTACAAATACTCACAGCCTATAGGAATGTGCAGTTGTTGACCCTTTTGGCAGTTACATAAAACTCCACAGAAGGAGTGCTTAAGGAACCATAAGTCCAGCTGGAGTCTTGTGAATGGAGAATATCTGCTAATGTGGTTTGCTTTTCATCCCCAGGAATAAACAACGGCCCACATCAAATACTAACTATCATCTCCTAATACGTAGTTGTGCCTGTAACTCCTCAATGCGATGCAATGTGTAGGGTAGGAAAAAAAAGAAAACGCAGGAGTGAAGCCGATTAGTTGTTCTTGTTTGTAATTTAGGTATTTGCTGCTAATTAGCCATGAAGTTACTTTCTGGCATGAAAGCCTGTTGATGACTCAATGATAGACCACTGTTGCACTGAGGAGAAAAATATACTATCTTGACATACATTTATGTTTATGAATGGGAATTTGTCAAATTGGTAGCCCAGTTTTCTCACTGTATCAAAAATAAATATATTCTTACTGTTTAAAAAAAGGCTCTGATGCTTCGTAAAGTCACTTTCCCATCCAAAGTCACTCCCCTGGTGGCTCTAAATGAGCATCTACAGTATTGGGCGGCTCTGAGACATGCATGTAATAAAAACAGACCTTCAACATGATCATCTCTCAATGATCTCTCGCACTCACTCACGGTTTACTTGTGAAAAAGTCACCTTCCCTCCCTCTCTTCGACACGTCCGTCAGCTTATCTCTTAAGGTCGATTCAGCAGTTTGACACCGCTACTAGAGCCCCGGAGATCAAGAACAAAGAGACTGCAGCACACTCGCTGATATTACTAAATAATTGGCTAGCTTGTGTTGTTTGTTTGGATCTACCTTCAGTGTCACATGAATATTTGCGTCCCTCTCCTCGAACCCTCCTGTGAGGGGCTGCTCAGCTGACCCGCTTGGTGTGATAGACATTGATAGGAACCACTGTTGTAGATAACATTGTTCATGTTTAGAACACGTTCAGACATGACGAAACTGACTGTACAGTTTTCTTTATGCATTTTGTGTGTTCTGGTTTATGAGGGAATTGTTTTGTAAGAAAAAATCGAATTAAATATATTGTAAAAATCAGTCAAGTTGTTGTGTTTTCTTGAATGTATTGATTGGAATTTATGTTGTTGTTCCCTTGTTTGCAATGTCAAATTACCTTCTTGATTAATAGTAAAGTATTTATATAAATATTTAAGAAAATGCTAATTACAATTTATTTAAAATATTCCTGAAATGCAACAAATCCAGAAACTTGAATCAGTTTGTCACTATTGCTTGAAAAATGAAAACGAAAACTATTTTTTTTAGTCTTAAACTGATAGGTCTGACAGTAACTTATTAATAATAATTTGTATCATCAGCTCACCTTTTAAAATCAGGTGAGTTGATTTTAAATCAATAAAAAAAACAATAATTGACTTTTTAAGCTGCTTAATTGTAAGCATTTGCTGCTATTTTGTATTGATTCATATGGTAATTAACAAAACAAAAATATTATTAAGAATAAGACGCCCAGAAAAAAAAAGAAGTCAACTTGAAGTCGTTGTCCTCGAAGTCCTTAGTGATCTTAAACAAGGGGAATACAAATATGACCTGAATGTAAGAACAGGAAAACCGTGCATAATTTCAATAATAACCAAATATGTTACACTATGTTATTTCTTAACTGTTAAGTTAAATGACCACTAGCTGCTGATGCAAAAAACATTCACATAAACACCAATGAGAAAATTAGCCTCTGGAAAATGACAGGGCATTTGGTACAAGTCCCCAGATGTGATGTGACATCCGTTCCCCATCCCTGCCCCCACGGCCATTAATAGTCTTGGTCCAGTGATAGGCGTGCATCGAGCCGGCCTTCACTACGGTGAAAGTTAATGTAATGGTAATGTTATCTATTGTCTTAACGCACACTGACAATCCATGGCCATTCATCCATTACTTGCTCTACTGACAGACGCTGTCAATACCCCCTCAGCCTCAGAGTGAAACAATGAGGTGAAAGGGAGAAGAAAAGACTTCCTGGAGCCAAACATCGGTGAGGTAGGACAATCCGATCACACAGATAATTACCTTCCTGTTCACGCCTGCTTCAATTTCCTGTGAATCCCAACAGAGTGGAGACAGGAAGACGCCGGCTTTCATCCACGGCTTACTGACGTATCTGTGGACAAACCACAACATAATCACACATCCATCCTCTTCCGAAGGGCTGCAAATAAAAAGGTTTTCAATCTGATACCAACATGAACTGGCAACAATGAGAAGAGACCTCTCCACTGCTTTACTTTATCCATATGACCTTCAATTCTTTATCAATCACTTTATTTTTCAACAAACTAAACTACAGTAGGACTTCTTGAAGATAATTATCGACATACTATGACTCTTTTTATATTATTTTCGACATACTATAATATGACTTTTTTCAAAGGGCCAGATGTTGACTCTTCTACCATTTAAACTCTTCTTTTGTAAGTTTGTTTTCCAAAACTGTCATAAAATATCAGTAAATAAACACAAACTCTGAGGATTAGGTTTGGTGGATTAGGTGATAATTTAATAATTCCAACATTAAATGTGATAGCAGCCGCAGCTGGACACGCCACTGTCACTTGTTTGGCACATTAAAAGATTATATTTTAGTGATATTTAGGCAAGTAAACAGTTTTGGTGAAAGCAGGCTTAATGTCTGAATAACAGTCGGGCAACTAATCTGCTTAGGCTTTGGTTAAATAAATAATAAGACTTTTTTGTATACCCAGAGTGGAATTTATTTTGGTATTAGCTGAGAATCAAACCACTCAGACATGCATTTGCAATGCTGATCATCAGCCGCTTGTTTTGTTGTGGTGGGAAAACAGCCGTCTTAGAGAAAGTGTTTATATATATTTAACAAGACCATATGCAGCTTTTAAAGATACTTTTAAAGAAAAAGAAAAGAACCTAAAGACACATCGGATGTATTTTTGCAATGTGTGAAAACCTTCGAAGACAAGAGGAAATCACAACATTGGACTGTCAAAATAATTACTTTAGTTTCAACAGGTGTGTGGGAACTTTTTTTGTATCCTTCCTTCATTAAAATGTAAGGAGACCACGATCTAAAACTTCTTGCGTAGGAACAAATACAAGGTCATTTAAACAAAATACTGTCCTATACAGTATGTATCTTCTTGTAATAAAGGAAAAAAGGCCCAAATAGAAAGAAAATAAAAGTCTTGCAAACATGTGTAAATCCTTACTTAAACACAATGGTGCTTTTAGCTAAATTATAACGTCAACATGCAATGTTAGTATGCTGATTTGAGGCCGAACCCGTCGATAAGATGTTAAGATATTCCACTGGATAAGTAAAAACGTTGGCGTTGCTAGGTAAAATAAACAGGGTCCTCTGAGCTTCATCCATATCTGTACCACATTTCATGGTAATCCATCCAACACTTGTGCAGATACTTCAGTCAGGATGAAAGCAGTGAGCCGACCCAAGAACAAATTGAGTTGCAGGAGGCGGTGTCCTCAGCATCAAGTGTGATACTGCAGGCTGACTGAGAACACGGCAGCAGAACTCCCTGTCATGTATCATTCACAGCATATAAAGACACGGTACAGTAACAAGTAAAAACATGAGGAGCTGACTCACAGTTGGTTTCTCTGCACTGTTCCTATAGTATGATGACCCATTCGAAACATTCATAGAGAAACACAAGAGTAATGTTTTCATCATTAGGGCTGCTTCTCACAGTGAGAGCATCAGACATCGAGGAATCTTGCATCAATGCATCCTTTATTGCAGTTTAAAAACGAAACAAACAAGATATGAAAAGACATCTGATCTGATTATGTTCATAGTTAGTAGATACAACATTTCTGGGCAGAGACACAATGACAAGAGCAGGTGCCAAGAAGGATTTGTCACATATCAGGGTATGAAATATATCCAAAGTCTTACAGGAATATATCATAAAGCAGTCTACAAGTGAGCAAACAGCTATGCATATACTGTAAAAAAAAAAGGAGGATTTTGGCAAAGTGCATGTAACGGGAAAGTAATTTGGGTTGAATCAAATATCTACAAAACCTGTTCTCTATTCTCTATTAGTTCAAATCAGTCAACAATCAAGACAGTAAAACAAGTGAAAGTCAGCTCACCTGAACGAAAGCTACAGCTACAGTTTACTCACGTTGAGTTAGTCCTTTTTCATCCTGTATTTGCAATATCAGATACTATTTATCCTTTACTGTCGAGATCAAAATCAGACATTTGACTGATTCTTACAGGAGTCTCAGAATAGTGGAGCCCATTTCTGTTGGTTTCAGTATGAAATGTGGACAATTCATCAATAAGATGAACAGCAGTGATGCCTCCATCACAGGGGAAGTGCTGATGGAGGGAGTTAGAGAAAATCAAACATTTTCTGACAGTAATTTGACAAGAATGTGTTAGCCATTAAAGATTAAGTAAAAAATAACAACGGTCATAAATATGAAATGTCACAGGGAAGTGTGCAGTGCAGTTGGTGCGTGCAGTGCAGTTGGTGCGTGCACTGCGTACGTGTCACTGTGAGGCCAAATCACTATAATTACAGCAGAGATGTGAGTAATAATGACAGATATTAGTGCTCCATGTGATGACGGTTATGGTGAAGTGAGTGACAGAAATCAAAGTCTCTTATGTTCTCTACATACATGATTCATGGGCAGAGTTGGGTGTAACGCGTTACAAAGTAATAATATGACTTTTGTCGGTAACGGAGTAGTGTAACGCGTTACTTTTATAATTCAGTAATCACACTACAGTTACTAACATTGCCCCGACACGCGTTACTTCGTTACTTTTATAAAATCAGTCATAATCACACTGACAGACAAGAGGGGTTTCCGCCGCAGGTTTATATGTACGTAATCTGCGCGACTTGCGCGTCCACATCTCCACGTGCAGTGCTGCATAAACATGGCAGAGTCAGCGATAACTTTCGAGGGGTGGAGGTATGCCCATTATTTTGAGTTCGTCCGAAGAATAGACAGGAATGTGACGGTGAGGTGCAAACTGTGTCCAGGCCTGAAGCTGTTATACACTGCTGCAAACACCACGTCAAACCTCAACAAACACCTGCAAAGAACACATGCTAAGGTGAAGCTAATAGCTAAGGACCGGACCCCCGAACCCAGAGTGAGGATGTTGTGAGTCGCCGCCGCAGACTCCGAAGCGGCACAAATTAGAATTTGGAGGACCGGTAACCAAAGCAGAGATGGACAGGCTTGTCGCATCCTTCATAGTAGAGGTAATGTTGCCCATTTGCACAGTGGAATCACCATCGCATCGTTCAGAGATATACTGCGCAAAATACAGATAGCAGGAGACAGAGGACAGCCATAGTCAGAGCTATCTGGATCAGTCTTATGCGACAATGGAAACTGAACTAAAGAGAACATTTGAAACTTTAGCAGTCTGCGTGATCTGCCTGTAGGGAGGGGCGGGCCGGCCCTGCGAGTAAAGTAACGAGTAAAGTAACGAGTTACTTTATGTAGAGAGTAACGAAGTAGTGTAATATATTACTTTTTTTTAAAGTAATATGTAATATGTAATATATTACTTTTTTTTAGTAACGACCCCATCTCTGTTCATGGGTATGGGAGAACATAATAAAAAAACACAGATAAATATATAAAAATAGGAAAAGTCACGCTGAGGTCTTGTTACTAGAAATGTGAATCATTTAAGTGAAACTGACATTTGAATGTATCACACTTTCTGCTCCAGGAGGAGGAAATAAACTCTAAACTAATCCTACAAGTTCTATTTTTGCACATATTCTCAGAAACAGTGTCAGATGCGTTAACCCTCTGAGGGTTGTTTCCCATATTTTCATTTACTTTATTTTTTTATACTGTAGCAAGAGTGTTAAAGAGCAACTTGCAGGTTTGGTTTTACTACATTTATGCTTAACCTTGCCTGAAAATTACAATTAAAAAAGTTAATGCAGGATTTCATATGTTTTACGAGACATAAGGGCAGGAATTCAGAGGGGAAAGTAGCCGTTTTGAGCTCTGCTACTAAAAACTTTTTTTTTTTAACG